TCTCTCTCCTTTTTTCTTTCTCTCTCTCCCCCCCTCTCTCTCTCTCTCTCTCTCTCTCATCGATTCCCTAGAACACAGTAATCATTCACATGTTTATTGCTGCAGTGCGAGTGGCTGCTGGGAGACCGAAAACCATCCCCAGAGGAGCTGGACAAGGGAATTGACACAGCTAGTCCTTTATTCCAAGCCATCCTAGACAACCCTGTTGTACAACTAGGCCTAACCAACCCTAAGACCTTGCTAGGTGAGTGTCCTATGGAGTCACTCCTAAAGCTTTGCTGCAGCCTTGCCACAGCGAAAGCCGTTAGCCACTAGATTCTCAACAGCTATTAACAGTATATGTTATTGGTATTGCAGTGAGCATGCTTTGTGCCAGTGAATGGAATCCTCACACTTTGAAGGATTGCTGTCAAGCTAGATCATTTCAGTCTCGTGTAGACATATGAAGGCGCTTGACAGTCGGATCAGATATAAAAGTGTTGTACTTTTCTGCTTTTAACAGAAAACTAGAATATATTTTTAGTTACTGTGTTATTTTAATATCTGCCTAAAAATAATTTTTGACATGGGTTTCAGACTTATTTTTTTATGATCTTCTTTCATATATAGGTTATTAGAAGATTAGACCAAGGCCTGCTTCCTGATGAGTGTTGCTGAATTAGAGATCCAATAGCCACATAGAGAGGAGTTGTTGTCAGTCTGAGCAGACAGACTTCCACAAAGGGAGAAACAGTAAAGAAAGGTTTGAGTGACATCACTAAGCAGGAAGCACAGTTTGCATTATTTAATGATTAAACCTGGTTGCCTCCTACACTGACACACAGTTTTTAAAGCCACCATTTCTGTAAAAATGCTGTACATGATGTCCACTTAGCATGTGGAATATTGCAAAAGAACAAAATCTGTGCGTATCCACACATATGCAGGTCTGAACCAGGGGAAAAACTTCCCTCCACAATCTGCTATATGTAGGCCGTGCTGTCAATTGTCATTGTGGCGTTGATGTGGTGTGTACACACAGTTTGTGAAGGTGTCTGGTACTAGACTGCACATTGGCTACCCTCTAATAACAGATAAAGGGAGTAGGAGAGAGTGTGACTTGGCTGTGTATAGTCATTTCAGCAGCAACTATTTTTACAATAATGAGACTGGCGTTCTTTAAATTGCATTTGCCACAATCCTTTTGCTCATGAAATGTAGGTTTGGGTCTTGGGAACTGCTAGTTGCTCTGGTGTCTTTTCTTCATCTGGCACATCTAGTGTTGCTGATAATCTCATTGTGGGGTCAGTTACACAGGATATCTCATTATAGTGCTGTACAGTACCAATTCTTGGCTGTGATTTCAAGGGCCCTCCTGTGCCAGGACTTAAATAGTAACATCACTAATAACATTGCCCTCTTTGAGTTCCCTGGTGAAACTGAAGCAGATTTTAGAGGCCCTTTCTGCCCTTCCTGAATCTTTATCCTGTGAATATATACAATACCAAACCACAAACCTATAATAATATATAAGATCATACCTAAAATTACTTTCCAGTAGTTTTATAATAATAAAAGCTACCATCATATGGCCACATTTACTTCTAAGTGTCTTTGACAATTCATGTTGTTTTCCCCAGTCATCTTCCAGGACAGCCATCGAGATATAGGCTCCGCCTGCCTGCAACAGGAAACACATCAACCACATTAAATAAATAGACTCCTCCTTCCATCCCAAGTCAGTTTTTTTGTGTTTCCGCCGGCTACACAGGGACATCGTAATGTTTGTTGTTTTTAGGGCTCATGTTTGTTTGCCTTAGGGCTGAGCCTACCCTGCTATGCGTTGGGACCTACTCCAGGATTACCTGCTGCAGCGCATGCAGGGCTTCCCTATCGGACCCCCATCCGATTCTTGGCCAAGGTTCCCTTCCATCACTCAGGGAAGGCAACCATCCTCCTGCACGTGAGTTGGCGCCAGATGGTGGCCCCCCCCTGGTGTACAGCAGTGGCAAGCTGGGATGTGAGAATGCTGACCCAGGGTTGTGGACATTTGTCTGGCAACGACGGGGGCAGCATTGGAGAGGTACAGGGAGGCTGGAGGAGTCCAGGGGTCCCGGCTACCTTGGCAGTAGGGGGCTCTTACCTGATGGTATGAAGAGCAGGGTCAGTCTGCGGCAGTGTGGAGGTGTGGGCCTCGCGCGGCGGGCTGCGGCGTCTCTTCGCCCCTTGCTGGTGCTGTGGTGGGAACATAGGCTATGTCCTGGCTAGGAATCCGGCGGGTGACGTCACTGTAGGGCGCCGTCGTCGCCTGGGATACGCGCCGCGTGGTCAGAGCGATGACGCGCTTCCGGTGCGACACTTCCGGGTTTCAGAGGCTGCCTCGCGCTGGAGACGCATAAGAGAGGAGGCTCGGTTCCCACATGGTCACAGTAAACGCCGCTCGGCCACGACTACTTCAGCTGTACACCATCCATACCGACCTAGACCACATAAGGCCGGTGGGGACGTCAGGAGCGGGCCGATAGCGTGGTCGGCAGTGAGCTGCAAGATGCCCACAGATGCCGGACCGGGTGCTGCTGCTCCAGATCTGGGAGAGCAAGGCACAGGCGCTAAGGTAGGCGAGTTTTTTATGGAAATTCTCCCCTTGCCTTTACCCGCTTGCATTGGGGGCCTGTTCGCAGGGCAAGCTGGGTAGTGTTATGTATAGAATGGTTTGCATGCGGGCAGAGCACCGGCTGATGGCATCACTCTTGTCGTACGCAGGTCAAAGCCACGGAGGATAAAGCCCTCGCTGAAGCAGGTTGCTCTCGCCCAAAAGGGAAGAAGTGTGCCTCTTGCTTTGCAAAAATGTCAGCTTCGTGGTCCAAACCCTTGTGCAAAGTGTGTTTAGAAAAAATAGTGGCTAAAGAGTCAGCCGGAATGTTTAAAGGGCTTTTGGACTCAATGAGAGAGGAAATGGTTAATACATTTCAGTCTTTCAGGTCGGCGCTCCAGACCCCAGTGAGTCCACTAGTGGAGACTAGTTTACCGGGTACTTCGGGGGCAGGTGGCTCTACGGGATACACAGAGAGCATAGTGAGCAAGCAAGCGGCCAGTGAATCCTCGGGATCTCAGGATGAGTCACAGGATCACGATGAGTCGGAAGGAGAGTTGCGTAGCAGTTCAGCTACGAAATTCCTTTTTCCATCATGTGAGACAGATGAGCTGTTGAAAGCCATAGGGGATACGCTGGATATTAAGGAAGAATCCACTGAGCTTTCGGTGCATGACAAACTATATAAGGGGCTCCAGACAAGGAAAGGACGCACCTTCCCGGTCCACAAATCACTCTCGGACATGATCCAAGTGGAGTGGCAGCACCCAGAAAAGAGAATGTTTTTTTCTGCTGGGCATAAACGCAGGTTCCCTTTTGCGGAGGAAGATGCAGGTCTGTGGGACAAATGTCCTAAGATAGATGCCTCTTTAGCGAAAGTCTCTAAAAAGACTGACCTGTCTTTTGAGGATATGGGGGCTTTGAAAGACCCTATGGACAGGAAAGCGGAGGCTTTGCTCAGGAAAGGATGGGAATCGGCGAGTGCTGGGTTCAAACCGGGTCTGGCTATTACTTGTGTGGCCAGGACTTTGGGGGTATGGCTGAATCAGCTACAAACCCACCTGGAGTCTGGTACGGATCATGACCAGTTGCTAGGTTCCCTCCCGGTACTGAGCAAGGCTGCCGCTTATATTGCGGACGCCTCGGCTGAAGCTGTCAGGTATTCTGCTCGGACTACAGCTTTGATCAACTCCTCCAGGCGGGCGTTGTGGCTCAAAACTTGGTCTGGCGATGCAGCTTCTAAAGCGAAGCTCTGCGGGCTACCTTTTAAAGGTGACTTGCTCTTTGGGCAAGAGCTGGAGGCAGTGCTGGATAGGTCCGCGGATAAGAAGAAAGGCTTCCCACTGCCGCCCAAGCAGCAGGGGAAGAAGTTTTTTCGTGCCCAAAGGGGGCAGAATTTCCGCAAGGACAAGAGGGGCTTCTATGGCAAGAAGCAGGACCAATCTAAACCATGGGCTTTTAACAAAGGGAAGTCTAAAGGCAGTTTCCTCTTTAACCCCCCTCAGCAGCCCAATAAATCGCAATGACCGCTTGCTCAGGGTGGGAGGAAGATTGGGGGAATTCTTCCCACTCTGGGGGAAGCTGATCAGCAACAAATACATTTTGGAGCTGGTATTGCACGGCTACAAAATAGAGCTGACGGAGCGACCCCCCTCGAGGCTTCTGATTACTTCCCTGTCCAAGGACCGGAGGAGATCAGAGGCAATGACGGGGGCCCTTCAGGAGCTGTGGGACCAGGGAGTCATTGTGAGCGTGCCGGCTTCGGAGGAGAACAGGGGGTTTTACTCGCACATCTTCTCCAGGATAAAACCTTCAGGGAAATGCAGACTGATTCTCAATCTGCAGCCTCTCAACAAAGTGGTACTATACAAGAGGTTCCGCATGGAATCGATCTTCTCAATCCGAGAGTTGCTGGCCCCAGGGTCGTTCCTAGCGACTATAGATTTGCGAGACGCATATTTCCACATAGCGGTGAGGCAATCGTCACAATATCTACTGCGGTTTGCAGTAAGGGGCCCGGCAGGCGTCCTGCACTTCCAGTACAGGGCTCTGCCATTTGGCCTCTCCTCAGCACCTCGAATCTTTACCAAAGTACTGGCAGAGGCTCTGGCGCCTCTGCGATTAAGGGGCGTAGGGGTTATTCCATATTTGGACGACCTTTTGTTTTTTGCCCCGTCAGAGCTGGTGCTCCAACAAAAACTGGAGCTGGCTATACTGCACTTGGAGAGTTTGGGTTGGTTGGTGAACAGGGAGAAGTCACAACTGGTCCCCGCACAGAGAGTGAAGTTCCTGGGTTATTGGATCGATACCCGGGACATGACCATTACACTGCCAGAAGACAAGGTGTCGCTCTTGGTAGAGGAGTCACTGAGACTCCAGTTACAGAGCACAGCTTCAGTCCGCTCGGTAATGAGAATGGTCGGTCTCATGACGTCGACCATCCCAGCGGTTACCTGGGCACAATTCCACTCACGACCGTTACAAAATTGGCTATTGCGGGTGTGGGGAAGTCGACTGCAGGACTTAGACAAGGGGGTCCGCATCACAGGGGAAATCAAGCATTCATTACTGTGGTGGATGGAGTGTCGGAACCTCTCAGTCGGCAGACTTTGGTCTCAGCCAACACCACTTGTGGTCACGACAGATGCCAGTGCCTGGGGTTGGGGTGCTCACTGCCGGGAGTACATTTGGCAGGCAGCCTGGGAGCAGGAGAGCCGCCTCAAGTCGTCGAACTGGAGAGAGCTAAAGGCGATAGAGCTAGCCCTCTGCCAGTTCCGGGAGACGTTAGCCGGGCACCATGTAGCCGTGGCCTCGGACAACGCCGCGGCCGTAGCCTACATAAACAGACAGGGGGGCACGCGCTCGCACGGCCTCATGCAGTTGGCGACGAATATTCTAACTTGGGCAGAGCACACCCTCCTCTCGCTGACGGCGAGGCATATCAAGGGCAACCTGAACGAGTTGGCAGATTCACTCAGCAGAACGGAGCTGCACAGGTCAGAGTGGTCTCTGAACGCAGGAACGTTTGCATGGATCACCAGCTTGTGGGGCTGTCCCGAGGTAGACCTCTTTGCAACAGCCAACAACAAGCAGGTGGAACAATTTTTTTCACTCACCAGGGGCGACGGCGCCCTAGGGGTGGACGCTTTGGTGCACCCCTGGAGCTTCAGTCTAGGTTACGCATTTCCCCCACTGCAGTTAATCCCGAATGTGCTTCGGAAGCTCAGGGGCGAACGGATGACGTTAATTCTCATAGCGCCATGTTGGCAGAAGCGGCCGTGGTTCACGACCCTCCTGGAGTTGTGTGTAGCAGGGCCTCTGCTTCTTCCACCAGCGGCGGATTTGTTGATGCAGGGCCCGGTGAGCCACCCGCAAGTACATGCTTTAAATTTAGCAGCATGGCTACTGAAAGGGAGGTGTTAATCAACAAAGGATTATCTGCGCGGGTGGTGACTACACTGCTGCACAGTCGAAAGCCGGTGACATCTGCGATCTACCTGAAGGTGTGGAAAGTGTTTTCCAGCTGGTACAGCAGTCAGGGTAGGCCTGCGGTGGCCACAGTGCCATTGGTGTTGGATTTCTTGCAGGGCGGTTTGGAAAAAGGGCTTTCCTGTAGTACTCTGAAGGTGCAGGTTTCTGCATTGTCTAATTTCGTAGACATTAGATTGGCGGAGGAGCCTCTCATCAGACGATTTATCCGAGCAGTAGGCAGAATGAGACCCCCAAGGAGTAAGGGGGTGCCAAACTGGGATCTCTCGGTGGTGCTGCAGGGGTTTCTCAAACAGCCTTTTGAGCCCCTGGGGGGGTGTTCCATCCAGCAACTGACGTTAAAGACGGCCCTCTTGGTAGCGTTGGTTTCCGCACGTAGGGTGAGCGAGATTCAGGCATTTTCTATTACCGACCCCTACTGCACCATCCTGGCAGATCGGATTATTTTGCGACCAGACCCGGCGTTCTTGCCGAAGGTGGTCTCCACCTTCCACAGGACTCAGGAGGTGGTCATTCCGTCATTTGCCACTAACCCGGCCTCTGCTAGGGAACGGGAGTGGCAGGGTATTGATGTGCGAAGGTGTGTCTTGGAGTACCTCCAAGCCACAAAACCTTGGCGGCAGTCGTCACGCCTCTTTGTTACGTTTGGGGGCCCCACTAGGGGGAACAGGGCCACTAAAAGCACGATTGCAAGGTGGCTTAAAATGGCCATAACCGACACCTACAAAGCGCAGGGCTTGGAACTACCAGGTTCGGTCACGGCACACTCGACTCGAGCATGGGCTACGTCCTGGGCAGAGCGAGCAGGGGCTACTCCAGAACAGATCTGCAGAGCAGCCACGTGGTCCAGCTTCCAGACATTCGTCAGGCACTACAGGCTGGACCTTATGACTCAACAAGACCAGGCATTTGGCAGGAAAGTCCTGCAAGCTGTGGTCCCACCCTAGGAGGTAAGATTTGTCCTCACTGATCCTCTCGATGGCTGTCCTGGAAGATGACTGGGGAAAACATGAGTTGATTACCTGATAACTCTGTTTCCAGGAATCTTCCAGGACAGCCAGTTCCCGCCCTTGGTGTGTATCCAGGTGGCATCCGAGGTTGGATGCAGGAGGGGATACTTTTGTGCATGGGGGAGCCTTCGGTCCTAGAGGTTACTGACTTGGGCTGGAAGGAGGAGTCTATTTATTTAATGTGGTTGATGTGTTTCCTGTTGCAGGCAGGCGGAGCCTATATCTCGATGGCTGTCCTGGAAGATTCCTGGAAACAGAGTTATCAGGTAATCAACTCATGTTTTCACTGTCTTTAATTCAGCAATGGATTTATCTTTTTAAAGCTACAAGTGCTTTCTTTTTTGAGGTGGCTCTTATTACCAATAGTGCCACCAATGCGTGCATGCCTCCCCCTCAAGGACTACACTGATGCATTGCTGCTCTGTGTACTGCACCTCTGATCTAGAGCTGCAGCTAACAATTATTTTCAAAATCGATTAGTTAGCCGATTTTTAAGTTTGATTAACCGGTTAATCGGGATAAAAAATGGCTCCAGTGATGGACTACTAGTTTGTATGGAGATTGTAGTCCATCACAGGAGCAAGCTTGGAGCGGTGGAAATAAAAAGTGTGGTGTGCAATATAGTGAAATGGAAAGTATAAAATTATACAGCAATGAATGCAGAATGGCACCGGCTATAGAGGACTACAAATCCCAGCAATAGTACAATATACAGCACAATGCAGAATACCACCAGCTATAGAGGACTACAAATCCCAGCAATAGTACAATATACAGCACAATGCAGAATACCATCAGCTATAGAGGAATACAACATATCCCAGCAATACTAAATTATAGCTGGCGATATTTTGCATTGCGCTGTATAATGTAATATTGCTGGATCTGGTACTCCTCTATAGCTGGTGGTATTCTGCATTGCACTGTATAATTACTGGGATTTGTAGTCCTCTATACAGCGCAATGCAGAATACCACCAGCTATATAGGAATACAACAAATCCCAGCAATACATGATACATACAGTGTATCATGTATTGCTGGGATTTGTAGTCCTCTATAGCGGATGGTATATTGCTCCTGTATAATATACAGCACAATGTACCATCAGCTATAGAGGAATACAAATCCCAGCAATACATTATAGAGCACCATGTGTGGGAAAGTGCAGGCTTACCTGAGCAGTCTTCCAGCAACTTGCTTCTGAGATCGGGCCTGTCTATCGGCGGCTGTTCTCCCCCC